AATCTCTTGATTTTCCGGATAATGATGATGTGGTTAAAGTGCATGGTGAATAAAAAAAATGAGGAGTTTTTCAACTTCTAGTAAAAATTGTTTTGAATTTGCTCTACATCTACAAATGACACAAAGATCATGAAGATATATTTTTTTTAAGTTTGCACTGCGGTTTGCAGCATAGCCTGCTCTGCAGAAACCATGAGCATAATCACGTAATCAAGATCCAGGGTATCGAGGCTCGGACAGGCCTACACCTTCATTTTGATGACAATAAATTCTTCTTATACATCAATGAACATGATTTTTTTAACATCGATAAATCTATTTATGAGCAAATGCGGTAAAATTATTTTTTATTTTCCTTTGAAAACAGCCTGAAATAGAATTGAAAAACTATTTCAGCTTTGAATATCTTGACGTGCTTTCCTGCATGTGAAAGAATTTTTTTGCTTTGCAGCCAATTTGATGCTTTGCATCAATTAAGTTCGTACTGACATTGTACATGTACAGGCATATAAAATATTCTGTTTATTGGACGAAATAGTATACCATTCTGTACAATATCATTTTAAGTTTAGTAGCAAATAACTGCAAACTCAAAAGTGCTTAATTTCATGTTGGATTTCCCCCTGTGAATTAGAAACGTTAAATCCACTTACAATTATCATGCATGCGTACATGTAGTTTAAGATTCATAAAACAATTACCACTTCGATGAATACAGGGGAAAATGGTGTAAAGCTTGTGTTTTTTTTTTCGGCTATCAAAAAGCATAAAACTTGAAATGAATAAATGCACAAGCGATTACGATTGATTAAAACAAGCTGAAATAGAGTGAAATTGAATGATATGAAAGGAGTCGACATGATCATGATGATTTCAAACCCAATTTTCCATTTGTAACTATTGGAGTACACAACTGATATTCAAATCGACATACCCGCTGCTATCTGCGTGCTTGTAAATTAGGACTGGGCTACAAAATTTTAGACACAAAGCAACAAAGCTGGATGTAAATTGTTTATTACAAATACGTGAATAATAGTATATTTTAAAGTATTTTTTTAACGTTCAAAGTTTATTAATATAAAAAAAAAAATAATGGAGAAACAAAAGAGTGATGGTAAAAATAAAACGTACATAATAGTACATTACGTATCACAAGACTTCCATCACTAATTATAATTATTTGCCGAAGCCCCTTTTCAATTACAATTTAAATAAAATACATTTACACGGAATAGAGAAATAATTTTTGCGTGAACAGGCCAAAGAAAGCGATCACAATTCAAAATGATTTATGCACCAGTGTTTCGAATTACGATTAAATGAAAGATCGGTGAAGTATTTTTATTGATTCGATAAATTAAAAACATGATTTTCTATAAATTGATAGGTCTCTGTACACAATGGATTTTAAACACGATCACAGACACTTGCATTGTTTACGACAGGTGGCTGGTACACTAGTGACCTCGATCGACAGCGTGGGATTCGGGTGTTGGATTACATAACTGTTACAAACATCTAGGCGATCTTGGAGATCGCCAAATGTATACAACTAATGATCGTGAATTATTCGATGCATAGAGTTAAAATAACTTATAATTGTTATAATAATTAATGTAGAAAGATAGATTTAATATATTCCGTTTATGAAGACGTGTTCACTATAAAACTAATTAATAATAAATAAAAAAGAAAGACTAATCGTTATAAATAATTTAATAGTGAACCGTAAAGCACGTATAAAGTCCTATTTAGAAAAAAATTAAAATTAATTACCATAGGGTTTATTACTGATATGAAGTTTGTGTAAATTATGCACATGAAGAGGTCTGATTTCCTTTCCGAATGAATAACGCTACCTGTTTACCTGGCCTGCTTTCAACTACGTATTACGCAATACCCCCGCTATAATCGAACACAAAACATTTTCATCAGATTTAAAAGGTGTCAAAGAACAATTTTGTTCGTATAATCCAGATCGAAATATTTACCGTTTTTGAGTTATATAGCAAAAAAATTCAAGCTCCCTAAATCCCTAATCATAGGGGCCAGCCCCTTTTGAATAGTATGATATGAAAGCCCTTGCGTTTATTAACAACTTTTGTTCAACATGTCTTAACAAAATATTTTTAGTTTTCAAGATAAAAAGGAAAACATGTGTAAATTTTCGCTCTTTTAGGCGTTCTATTTTTTGACCCCTGTATAACGCCATTTTGAATAGAGAAATCGAAAAACAAAAACCGATGTGCACAACTTCAATCTTTTTGTTATCTAAAACCAGTAAAATTTCTGCTCCAGATCTAGTGGTTTCTGAGCCTTTGTCTGGAAATGAAAGCCTATAATTTTTCGTTTAAAGGGAAATAACTCAAAACCGGAAGTGACTTTTTGAAATTATCGACAGCATTCTGAGAGAGTTTATTACCGTCTATAATGTCTTAAAATTTGAGCAAAATCCATTGAGAATTGAGTGAGATATGAGGCCTCAACGTTGGCGTCTAGGAAGAAAACAAAAAAAAGAATAACTAGAAAGTCTGCTATTGCAAGCAATAGCATATGTCGCCCCGTACTGGACAAGACTTTCATTTTTATCATCACTAAAACAATGGTCCATTAGCTAAGCTTGGACAACCATCGAATCGTATCAGTCCTTTCCGTTGGAAACGGAAGACCTTAATTGGGTACATCCCATTTTATTTTTAGAATCGGTAGGAGAAGAAAGTAGTGCAGGAAAAAATTACAAGTTCCTAAATTTGCAGACTTGCATAAAAGAAATTGGGCAGATGTACTGAACTGAGCCTCATACTTGTTAATTGGCAGTATCTTTCCTACCAATAAAGCTTGGCAAATGTAATTTTTTAAGAAGATCAGCCGAATTATTTTGTGTATAATAACGCCAGTGAGAACTCTGAAATTTCACTTTCATTTTTAGAGGTTCTGCCGGAAAACGAATCTGACATGCCACCTTCAATTCGAGCATTTCTGCATTGTACAGGGCTGATGTTTCTTATGAGATGATAAATCATGTGTAAACTTTCTCAGTTTAGCGGAATCGTGAACATTTTCGGCGAGATGAATGTGTTGTTTACAGTAGTGATCAAGGCTTAGCGCACCTGTAGGAGCGGATCCTAGGATTTATGAATGAATAAAAACTATGGAAATAACGTACCAATTTTCTAATTTATACTTGCACTATCTAATGAAATTAATAATATACAAGTAATAGATATACAAAAAAAAATGCGAAATGCTAATAAATGCAGTTGACAATCGTTATTTTATATATAGATAAAATAAAATAATTATAACATCTAGAGAGAAGACAGAAGAAGAATGAAGGTTGGCAAACTATGAAATCACATCAGGAGAACTGAATTTTATTAATGAAACTTTTAAAACGTTACTTGTAAGTTGTATATGTTAGATATGTGTATTCTAACTGGCAGTGCGCTTCAAAAGGGGGGGGGGGGGTCGTCTTGAACATAGTATCTTACGTTTGAACGGTAAGGGCTAGGGCTTTCGTATTTCAAATATGTAATCCTTGTGAAAAGAACTTTTATTGGACAAAAGAACTTTGACCCTTTGACCTAGACCTTGGAGAACACATGTGTACATCTTAACCTTTTTTCTGTTTCGTTTCTATGACAACTGTGAGCGACTCATTACAATTATTTTAAAAGTAAAAATCACTTTGACACATTGCAAGGAATTAACATTGAAAGTTTCAAAACGATTGCTTGAGTAGTTATTGAGAAAATCGAAATTAAAGAATTTTAACATTCCCCTGGTTTCCATGGCAATAATCGATTATTTGAAAATTTTAAATGCAAGGCGCACAACTACAGATATTTATCATTAAAATAAAAAGAGTTTCATGACGAACGTTTAAGGGACCAGAGAGAACACTCTCGGACAAAATTCGTCGCTTTTTACAGGTTTCCATGGCAACGGTAGACATATTGGAACTGAACGACCTCACTGCACAACTACAACCAGTGATCGTCCTTTGAGGAAAGTTTCAGGAAGATTGCCCCAGCCATCTCCGAGAAACAGCCTGGATAAAAAAAACATGCGTACAATATCAATATGTCGTCCCCGACTTCGTTCGGGGCGACATAATAAGAATAATCTTAATCTTCAGAATCAGTAGAAGGTCTTCCGTTGGAAACGGAAGACCTTAATAATCTTAATCATCAGAATCAGTATAACAAAAAAGAATGTGATGCCTTTTTTCCTCGTCTTCAAAATGTTTGGTGTATAGATATTTAACAAATAAACTGTGCAATTCTATTTAATGAAACCAATTCAATCCAAGTATATTCAATGGATAAAAAAATATAAATTAAGCGCACATTTATTAATGATTGAGAAGGGAAGATTTACACATATTTCCTGGGAGAATAGATTTTGTTTTTGTTGTCAGATGGAGGTTGAAGAGTCATCATTTTATTTAAAATGTCCCCTTCATCATGAGTACAGGAAATTGTATATTGTCATACTAACCATAGACCTAAAAGCAAATTTAGGTCTATTAAGGAATAAATAAACAAAACTTTCTTTTCTAAAAATATCTTATCTTTTATGAAAACATTTAGACTTGACACACATGAGTCAGAATATTTATGCATAAAAATATAAAATGTGCGATATACACCAATTCAGTATTTAAAAAATGTTGTTTCATCGCAAAAACGAAAAAAAAACACAAAATAGTTATACAAAAGAAACTTTATTTCATGCACATAAAACTGCAAAAAAACATATATAACAAACCATCAGTTGTTTCGTGAATTGAAATTTGATAACACATAATTATTTATATTTTAGAAAAAAAAATCACACAATGACCTGTCTTAAAAATCATTCATGCATATTAATCAATAAAATCAAAATCAGCTGCAAAGTTTTATTAGGTACATTGTATCTCTTTACGCATATACATGAATGCCAGAAATTGATTGTTCAGTATGATTATCAAATGCAGTCGATGAAAACTTTGTGAGTTTTTCGCAGATTGCACAATAACATATCGCTTCATTTTGCCTCCAATTTTGATTTTTTTTAAGTTCAGCAGATAATCAAGGTCTCGTTCAAGTCCCAAATGTGACCCTTGTTGATCCTTTGACCTGCTGGCGACACACTGGACACTTCTTTAGGGCTGGAGCACACTGGGCACAACAAAGATGATCACAAGGAAGGAAAACTATGGCAACTGTTTTATCGCAGCATATCTTACATGTGTGTGCATCACGCATAGATTCGTTTTCCTTTTTCATTTCGTCTGAAATTTTAAAAAAAAAATACATTATAAGATACAATTTACATTATATATATGTTTTTCCACCACAGAAGATTGATTAAAAAACAGTAATCTTATTAATTGTTATTGTGAAAATTGAATTCTCTTTTGATTTTTCTTGACAGACATTATCAAAATATATATAAAATAATCTACAAACCGTTGGAGAGCTGTCTGGATTTGGATTTGACGTTTTCACTGTAGGATAAACATCTTGTATCTTCTAATCTAAAAATTTCCTCCATAATGAGGGACCCTGTAAGGTTTTTCCATCCTGTAATATAAATAAAAACAGAAATACTTACGTATATAAGTACAAGCAATTTCTCAATAACATTATTACTTTTTTATTAGTTATAATGTTAAAAGTTTCAAGTGCCAGATAGAGAATGTAATGATTTAATTAGATAAATGAAAAAATGAACTCACCTCCAACACGTGGAATGATATTTTCTATCGCTCCTTTGATGGTTTTTGGAAGGTACCCAAACTCTAACACACTTTGTGCTGCATCTGTCAGAAGTGGGTTTTTCTCGTAAGTAGACTCTGGGTATTCATATAAATCTTTCTCTAAAAATAGAAAATGATTTTTAATTAATTATATATTTTTTATAAGAAAAAAAATATTCAAATTGATTTTAAAATCTCCATTTTTATTAATTCTAACTTACGTTTTATTGTTCTACAGGGTGGACAGTCTTGTTCAATATCACGATCGGTCACTTGCATTATGTTGGAATGTTCATTCACTGTGTCAGCCTTAAAAAATAGAATAGAACTCTTATTTTCATTTAATAATGCAATTTTTTTTTCTTTAAAAATTATCCAATTACAATAATTCGAATATTGAAATATATTTTAAATAGATATTAATACAAAAGAAAACGAAAAAAAAAACCCGAAACATTTATTATTATATTTTAATAACATTTATTTATTTAGAATTTATTTATGTACAATGTATCCTTTTATTTTTTAATAAATTTATCTACCTATTATCTATCATGTTTGTTTTACTTTAAATATTGAATTTCATTTTAATATTTCATATCTTTATACTTCCATTATAATTACCTCCTCCCTCCGTACAGCCTCTTGAACTTTTGCGATGAATTCAGCAGAAGTATTGTTAACTACAAATGGACAACTTGGCCTCCATCTTGCATGCTCCACCCAAGGGTCATCTTCGGGATCCCAGTTTCTCAACCCCACCCCACACTGAAAACAGCGCACTGAGTCTTCTACCTCTGAAATAAACAGATTTTAAAAAATCAAGAGAAGAATAACCTGTAGTGGAAACAAACTTTTCTTATATTTTTTTTTGTTCTGAATGTGCATATTTCAGTAGATCTTAGTGATGGCTTACGGATTGAAAAGAATCCCGCCTCTGCGAGTTTTTTGGCCTGAACTTTTATTGGCCATGATGTAAATGTTTGGATCCTCGCCTGAAGATCCCTGTGTTCAGAATGTTTAGCAGGGATCCTTCTTTTCAACTGGCCGATATTACTCTGTCGGACGACGTTCCCAGCCATTTTGGATGAGAAAAACTAACGTCAGTGGTGCAAAATATATTTATATACACTTTGTCAGTGGACATTTAAAGTGCACGCAAGCGATAAATATAAGTGGGGAAAACTTTTCTTCTAAATATAGTAACTAGTCTCTTATACTCAGTATTTAGATACATGTAATAGTACAGATATATGTATGATAATTTTTCTACGACCATTTTTATATTATTTCGTGTAAGACTTATCTGATATTAAGTCAGCTCTAATAAAAGAAGGAAAAATACGGCTAACCTATAAACAGAAAATATGTCCAAAATAGATCTCAAAATTCATTACTTATACTAGCCTACGTGGGTGATAATATATTCCATATCTACGCGTAAGTCTCTCAATCAATTAAAAATTTAAGATTTGATCATTCCATCATGCATTCATTGTAAGTGAAAAAACTATTAATATCTTGCATATTATGATTTTGAAAATCTGCTCTGCTTCTTGGTATTTAAAAACAAACTAAGTATATACGTAGTTATGATGAGGAAGGGTGCTTCTTTAAAAAAAACTGTGAATTTTAGGGTCAGGGGATCTGGTATTAGGGCGGGGCTCTATTGATTATATAGTGAAAATACATAAATTCTTTGAAACTCTTCTCTGCTTCTGGGTATTAAACAAACTAACTACATGTACATTTATAGTAATGATATAATGAGAACGGGTCAGGGATTTGTGGTGCTTGGGTGATGCTATATAAATTAGAAAGTGAAACTGAGTCTTTGAAAATCTTCTCCTCTAGATCTGGTACTAAGTATCAAGCAGATGAACTACCTACATGTATATACATGTAGCATATATATATATATATATATATATATATACATGTAGCATATATATATATATATATATATATATATATATATATATATATATATATATATATATATATATATATATATATATATATATATATATATATATATAGCTATGATGAGCAACAATTCTTCTTCCACAATTGTGAATTTCATGGCCCCTTCATCAGGGGTACTATAGAGAGGGGCTCTAATCATATGCTGAAAGAGTACCTTTTCCAGAATTGTAAGATATGTGGAACCAAGGTTCTGGGAGTGCACTATTGATTATTGTTGAATACTGCAGAATAGTTGAAATGAATTATTTTGTTCCCCTACTCTGCCTATGGGTATTATTATGTAACTAAAGTAACCATGCTAAGTGTATAGTTCTGATGAGCAATTGTACCTCTTTCAATATTGTGAATGTCGTGGCCTTTAGTTTAATATATGAACCAAATCTAATGGTTGGAATTGTGATACGGGATGTTCATGTGACCTGTAAGGCCCATTAGCCTCTTAATGTTTTTCAGTTGTGACTTTCTATGACAGAAGAATTCAGAATTCTTTTTAAAAAACAAATGCTGTTTGAGACTTTTTTTTGACACTGACTAAAACCTCCAACGTATTGATGACCAAAAAAAAAGAAATTCTGCAATTCATTTAAATCTATTTGATAGATGTAATTGAGTCTTATTTGACTAAAATATAAAACATAGTGATTACATGTACTCGAAAAAAAAAAAAAACTTTTATTTACTGAACACTTTCTGCTTAAGGAAGCTCTAAACACCAACAAAACTGCTTTTTGGACTTGGAGAAAAAAATTACCATAATTATAAAGCTGTGCATATTGAAACTTTTTCATTCATTTATAACATAGGGTACCTGCCTTATTTCTGCAGGAATAAGTTCAAAGACATTGTACTATTTGTGAGCAGAAATCACTGCTGTTTACTAACATTAGGAAAATTTATAAAAATAATGAATTCCATTACTTATTCTAGGTCTTATATAATGCTGAAAATACTTTTAAAATTAATTAAATACAAATCGTGTGATTAACTGTAGTAACAATTTTTAAAGTCCTACTTCTAAAGGCAGATCACTATAACTGCATAAAACTACCCTATTATTGGAGTTCTTTAGTGTGCAGTGTTTAGAGCATCCTTAATTGATTTGAACACTTTGCGTTGGAAAAAAAATATAAGATTAATATAAATGATTTGAAATGCTACTGACATTTCTTACTAAGTAAAACCAAGAGTACATGAATGACATTTTGTACGAACTATATATTTCTACAGTGTTTGGTCATTCAATCCTATAACCCTGAGATCTGAGAATGTACTTTATAACCTCCTGGACAGTTACAATCTTGCCACGTTCTGCAATATCGATTTCAATTATACTGCTGGTGTTGTGAATGTTTTTAAATTATAACAATAACGTTATCAATATCTACTTTTGTGTAGCAATAGCAACAATATTATTAATTGTATTTTTGACAATTGTGTAACTTTTACAGATAGTCAATTCGATCAAATTCACAATTCAAATAAATGGCAAACTGTTTCGATGCAGGTCGCAATATGTTTTCTTCATATCCTCAATCAAAAATCACATTTCGTGTGTATTTTATTTTACAGTTGATGATGATATACTTTGTCAGGGTCCTCACCGAACCATATTTAGTGGAATCAGTTAGACCTGCGGCATCTATGAATTGCTTAAAAAATTAAGAATAATAAATCGGTAATAAATTTTAGATTTGAAAAGTCTTTTATGAATAGAATATAAATATAGTAGCATGAAATTAAGCGAAATATTTCGTTTTTACGGTGCCATATTCAATATGAAAACAATCACGTAGCATAAGCATCCCAATCGATAATAACTTACATGTCGTCTGGTTGGATCCGGCGTACTAGAACATGTTTCCAGGCGGGTCTGCTTTTGGGCGGTTTGGATTTCCGGCATTTTGCAGACACTGTCCTAGATTTTTAAGCCCATACGAATAATTTATTATTGAAAATATAAAGTCAATTGCATGGGTTATCTACCAAATTCAGATACTACAGCAAATTATAAGGTAGTGATATACAAAATGTCAGATGAAGTTTGTCACAGATTAAGTTGGAATATATCTGTGAAATGTTGATATAGGAATGATAGTTTTAGGTAAATATGTTAAAATCCGAAAACGTAAGATGCTGACAATAAGAGGAGAAAGGACACAACGCACATGACACAAATTATTAAATCACAGTCACTTTTTATGTAGGTGTTCAACGTTAGAACACAAAACGGACTACTTCAATGCCCCACCTCATCACAAAATTCCTCAATGTGCACTGCTTTGCAAAAATCTAAAGGGGGTGTTTCTTGATACAGCAATGAGATCTAGTAAGATTTATGATAAAGAAGGATATGGAGATAACGAACAGTATTCAATATCAAAGTCCATAAAACAATACAAAATAGGAGCAGATCAAACATGGACCTCCAAAATATGAGAGGGATCAGGTGCCATAGAGGAGTGAGCATCCCCTGCTGACCGGTCACACCTGCCGTGTGCTCATTGTCATGATCGTGAAATAACGGAAAAATTCGACGTCAATTCAATGTATTAATAATTAACTAACAATTGATATGATAAACGTCAGTCAGCATTTGACTCAATGATAAATTGTATTTGACGACAAGGTCATTGTATCGACCATAGCACTTACGAAATAATGAGTTCAAACGAGACTGCTGATATTCTTGTTTAATCAACTTGTTTGGCAGTAATTTACCTCGTGTTAGAAATTGTTCATACAAAGAGCATGCTCTTGCGTATCGAATCAACTGAGATATATACACTCCGTATGCAGGTGATGAAGGTATATTGCTTCATAAGTAAAGGTTGTTGACGATAGAAAAGTTAAAGTCATCACATTTATCATATAGCTTGGTTTATGATTATATGAAAGAAGTCATTATATGTCTTACATTTTGGTGTAAAAAACTTTTTAATTTTTTAAAATAATTTCGAATTTCTTTCTTCGGTCTGACTACAAACGAAATCAATGCCTTTCCAGGGGAAAAGTTTAAATATTTGCCAAATTTTAAACTCATGCTCTAACAGTGGGACACCAGTAAATTAATGGGTGTTGCTAAAACGCGGAACGGAAAACGGAACGGAACGGAAAACGGAAAATTTATGTCAAACAAATAACATATATTCGATATATAAATAAGATATAAAAGCAATATTCTTGATGCAGAAGTCATACTTAATTAAATTTTTTTTAAACTATTATATATATTCATGAATCATACACACCCTCCGCTCAGAACTGGTGTACAAGCGAAAGATCTATAAAATACATGCTAACTAGACTCAAAGTCCTGAGTATTC